AGTTTTGTTTATCATTGTCTTCTTCTGGCATTTTTCTAACTTCCTAGTCTAGCTTGTACATACATATACAAACACACGAATTTTAAAAATAAAATGCCCAATTACTCAGGAGCATTATTTTAGCCCATCCGTAAGTTCTGAATCAATCCATCTAGCTGGCCAGCAGAGTAGATGTCACACCTCCTTCTGAAGTGTACCTATTGCTTAATGTAGATAGAATATGAGCTCTCCTGGTAACAAATCATGATTATGCTCACCAAGGTTGATGGGAGTCAAAGAAGGGGAAGCTGGATTAGGTGGGTAGATAGGATGAAAGAGGTGATTGAAATGTCCTTGGGAGAGCTTTCAAGTTCCTACTCAAGGCAAGTCAGGATGGTGAGCATTTGCTATCAGGATTCCAGCCAGACCAGAAGACACCTAACCAAATCACTGCCAAGAAAAAAAAAAAAACAGAAGGAATTAGCACTGGAAATAAAATGGCAATCTCTTTCCAGTGTCAGGCGTCAGGCTCGTCAGGAGGGTCAGTTCAGAGAAGAAACAGAGCATCATTGTCTCCCTTCTGAAACGTATCCTCTCCTGCGAGCTTGCAGACCTGGCTGTTGCAATGCCACATTTAGCACAGCCAGCTGGAGGGAGAGAAAAGGGGAGCCCTCCGCTCTGCTCTGCTCACGCAGGGAGCCAAAGGCATCGTGACTCCACCCGTCCCAGCAGTCTCACCCATCCCACTCTCTGTGACATACAAAAGGGAATGTTTGACACTGAAGGGGAAGCAGCATGGGGAAGGAGCTCCACAAGGGGTCCCAAGAATTCTGCAGGCAAGATGTAAGTCAATTCCTTTACTCTTTGGGGGGGGGGGAGTGTTGGTGTGCGTGCCCCCAAAAAGCAATTGTTTGGTCTTTCTGCAAGCGTGTGCCCCACATTGTGTGACTTGCCTTCCACTTGTCTTTCTTACTGATCTCCCTCCCCCTTCTGTTTACCAGGCAGATGCTTCTCTTGCCAAGAAGGGGTTCAACAAAAGACTCCAGATTTGGGGGGTGTTAATCTTCATTCTGCTCCTCTCCCTCACCTTGACAATTCTGGGAGTCTCCTATTTTTGGAAACCTGCTCCAAAAAAGGTAAGTTTTATTCTCAGGATTATATTTAATGGATGTTTATTTTTAAAAAAGCAATCTGGTATTTCCATCGCACCCTTTAGAAAGACACAGAGAAACTTGTCAAAGCTTATGCTGGGCTGCAGTCTCTTTGGGCAATGGGATCTTAGCCGTGGAAAGGCTGCGACATCTTTCAGAGCACGGGCCGCGCACTTCATTGTGAGAAGTTGCTTTCCATTTTGTTGCAATTGACTTGCCAAGAATTAGTGGAGAAATCCACTCCATCACTACATGAAAGAAGCAGCTTGTTCAGGAAAGTGGTTGATCACCAGCCATTTCATATTGTACTTTAAGGGCTTTGCGACGGAAAGGGCTGAGAATTTGCCATATTGCATTCAGTCATTTTATGAAATGATTGTGAGAGCTACTTTCTGCCACCCCCAAAAAATTATATAAAAAGCACAGTGACCATGTTTGTGCAAAACAATAAACCAAAGTGTCAGAAATATCGACTTTGTTTCTTACCCCACTAGTGCCATTGTGGGATATGGTGGTTAAGGAATTGGACTTGCCTAGAAAGACCTGGGTTCTAGTCCGCCCTCAGCCACAGAAACTCCCTGGGTGACCGTGAACCAGTCATTCTTGGTGAGCCTACCTCACAGGATGGTTTTTGCAGAGAAAATTGAACAATGGAATACTATATACCCTCCTTTGAGCTCCCAAAGGAAAGGTGAGATAAATCTAACAAATAATTAAATAAAATAAATAAACAATCCAGATCTTTCTTTTGGAAGGGTTGGGCTAAAATACTGTAGTGAGTGAAGAGGATGGCCTTGATGGACAGAGAGAAGATCCACTATCAAGACAACAATTAGATAAATGAGGCTTGAGCCAGACCAAGAAAGTGGTTTATGAAAATGCCTCAGACAGTTCTTCCTGCCTTAATTCTCATGAAGATAAAAGAGAGAGGAAAGGAAGCACATTCAGACCTGCAAGATTCTGTTACTACAAGTAGTTCATATTTAGCAACCACAATTGGGACTGGCAAATCAGTTGTTAAGCAAAGTGGTCGCTAAGTGAAACCATGACTGTGCTTACGATCTGATTTCAACTTTCCTTTTCTTTACAGACCTGTGAAGGGCATAAATGCAAGGAGTGGTCATAAAATTACTTTTTCATCACTATGTAACTGTGAACGGTCACTAAACGAGGACTACCTATATAGTTGCTCTACTGAAAGTAGCTTTAGGTCCACAGAGTGTCTTTTTCTTAATCTGGTCTGCCTTATAAGGCTGACAAGTATTAACAACCTATCCATTCAGGCCCCTGAAAAGAGCAAGCCATCATTTCTCTGCCAGGTGAAGAAGAGAAAAAGAGACAATGAAAGAAATGGAAGGTGGAAAGAAAAGATGGTGCAAGAAGGAGAGGGAAAAAAGAGGCACCAGAATGAAAGAAAATGGGTAGGGCTGCCTACTCTGGGCTCTGATCCCACCCATTGCTGCAGCTCCATTCATTTTTTTTTTAAAGTAAGCATTTTAGAAAATAATATAAATCAGGAACATGAAAGGTGTATAAAAAGAATAAAAGAGTAGAATACAATAGTACAAGACAAGTAAGTAAAAACAGGATCTAAAATTTGGAGGTTAGAGTTTTTCAATATATCCTTAGTTACTTATAAATTTATGATATATGTTATATTACTTATTAAAGGCACATCTAAAGACCACTAGTAAGTCTGGTTACTGGTTAATATCTGGTTAACTTGGCATAGATCACTAACTAGAATTGTAGGCTATAGCAAATTAAATCAACATTAGGAATCCAATTTCTTATAAAATTGAAGTATAAACTCTAAACGTAGGAAATCCCAAATTTAGGATGTACTACAAACTCATAGAGTAAATAATTATCCAGGAATGGTTTCCAGTTAGACCTGAATCAGATTTCATTTTTAAATACGAAGTTATTTTCGACATCAAATGTACCGTAGTCCCATAACTTAATTAGCCATTTTTCCACAGAAGAACACCCTTTCCAATATATGCGCCCACGCCCAATATACACATCCTGACAGATTATTTCTGAAGCAATACAACTCTTGGTTAAAAAAACAAAAGGAAGCCACCCAAGACCCTAATAGGTTTGGAAGCGAAAGTTCTTCTGGAGCTCATTCTCAACTTAGTTCTGCTACCATTTGTAAAGACAGCAGAGGAATGTCCACCAGCCAAGAGCTGCCTCTGTTGGTTCACTGTCCAACAGTAGCATCTGTTTGCAATAAGCTGCCTGCTGTTCAGGAGGTAGATCTGCAGAAGACATTTTCATTCCAGACTCCTGCAGCCCCAGTGATGTTGCTGGAAAGAAGAGAATGCATTGGGAACTTGGTGTGCTCACGTAGGGGCCAGCAAATCAAAAAAGATCTTAGGATATAGAAAAGTTTGCATATGCATCCTCAAGCAGGATCAACAGTTACCTGATCCTCTTTTATTTATTCATTAGCATCAATATACTGGACTTGTTGTCCTGGCTGGACCATCATCAGCCTCTCCGGATCTAGAAGGTTGAGATATAAATCATGACCTAAAGTGTCTCCTGTAATTGCATGTCCCAAATACCATGTTTTCTTCTTATTAGAATCATTAACTCATATTGTACACAGCATACCCCTTTCCAATTTCCCACATGTTGTCTTCTTTCACAAAAGAGTTCAACATTTCATACAAATCCAGGAAATTAGGTGGTTCAGGAATACATGGTTAAGCTAAGCATATCATTGCAAATGTGGGTATTGGTTTCAAAGATGGGACACTCTTTGCTCTCCAAATATTGTTGAATGCTAACTCCAATCACCAGCCAGCTGTCAGGGATAATAGGAGCTGTGGTGCAACATCTAGAAGTCCAGCTCTTGCCCCCTGCTTTAAATCATCCAAGTGGAACAAATGCTCACTTCTCAGCATCAGGAAACAACTGTTTGTCCAGCCATCTGTAGCACCTTCCAAGAAAAACAAATTGCATCAAAGTCTGGTTTCAAATGTCGTTTTAGCAAACTCAGAAAAAAAAAAGACAGCAGCACAAACATTTTGAAAGGAAAATCACTTTCATCCTTGTCCCAAAAAGCAAATACTGTATAGGGGGAAGGGGAGGAACTTCATACTTTCTTCTGAAGAATGGTGGACATGGGCCAGTATGCTGAAGTCAAGGGCAGGACAAAGATATCCACCATTAACCAAGATGTGTTTCATTTCAGGCTTCTTCCATTTACCTTAGTTACCCTGTAACATCTGTAAGGCAATAAGCACCAGTGGTTTGCACATGGAAGGTACTGAATCACATTGCTCTGAAATACAGGCCTCGTTCACATATCACAGGAAGATACCGTATTACATTCTTAATCATAATTCATTGAATAAGCCCCAACTGGGCTAATTTTGCACAACGTCCTATGCCATAAACTGCAGTAACAAAGGACAGTGGCTTGGTTCACACAGCATGCAAAGCCAGAATCAAAGTGTTATGGGTTAGGGTGTTGTACGAACCAGACTCTGATGAAGCAGTGGACACATGTTCATTCCCACTATCTGCCTTGCAACTCCTGCAAGAGAGTAAGAGTCAGAACCAAGGTAGCTTGGACTTTCTCTCCAAAAGCAGTGGTCCAGGAAGACTCTACAAATTTGGTGGAGCTAGGAATCAGCAGTTCCTAACATTTTATTTATTTTAAAAGATTTGTACGGCCACTCATCTAAAAACACAACATTGGGCAGCTCATAACAACAATAAAACCCAGAGCTATAAAAATCATAAAACCATAAAATCAAAACAACACATGTCCTTGGGATGCCCCACAACCAACTCCAGACATCCTCACTTTACTCCAATGCCTGGGTAAGAAGCCATGTCTAGATGGCCTTCTGAAAGGTTAAAAGGGTGGGGGCCTGCCAAATCACCAGAGGGGAGGGGGTTCCATAAGGTAGGGGCAGTCATGGAAAAAGCACACTTCCAAAGTCCCATTAGATGGCAAATTTCAGGGAAGGGACCTGGAGCATGCCCACCCTATCTGATCTGGTAGGACAGGCAGATACTCTCAGGGAGAGGTGGTCCCACAAATTATTTGGTCCCATGTTACATAGGGCTTTAAAGGTGATAACCAGTACCTTGAATTGCATCCAGAAGGAAACTGGGAGCCAGTGCAGCTCACGCAACAGAGGTATAACATGGGTGAACATAGAAACACCCAACACCATGCGCGCTGCTGCATTCTGGACTATATGTTCATGTCCACATCTGCAGCCCATTCTTTCCAGCAAAACCAGATCAGCCTTGACTTGTGCAGGTTCTGGCTTTTCTTCCTCCAGAGTCACTCCATTCCGTAAATCTGGGGTGGACCTTTTCCAGGACAAGAGCAGCATGTCCTGTGAGTGGCATGTCACAGTCTTCAGAAAGGCAAGCAGAGCCGGGAACATTGGATCCAGGATAATAAATCTGTTTTCGTTTTAATTTCTATTTAATTAGAATTGAACTAAACTAATTAAATCTCATTAATATGACAACTCCCTGTGCATTTCATCATCTTCCCTTTCTGATGCATTAAACATGACAATTTGGGGAGAACTTTAAGAGGTCCCTGGGGGCTTTAGCTGTGTGACCATGCCATAAACAAATTTCCCGCTGCTCAGGATAACTGCAAAACAATGCTATGAATATTTCAACTTTATTGCCTCAGAACCAAATAGGGTTTGTACAAAACTGTTCTTCTCGCAGCTTATATCTCTCTTCTCAGAGCTTGGCCATAATTCTGCCTTAGCAGAACCCAAACTCTCTTCTCAAAAGAAAAAGAATCAAATGGGACAGCTAGCCAAAAATGTAACCAAAAAATAGTTCCTTGCATACAGATTGGAATTTCAAGATCTTTTTCCAGTCTGTCTTCAGATGCCACTAGGTCTGGTCTGCAGTACAATCTGTCCTTGGAGATTATCTAATGAGGCAGCCTACTGCTCTTTTCCAAGAATCCACCTTCAACTTTCCATACTGTGAAATCTATTGGTGTGAAGTATCAAGCATTCGCTAATGGGGCAAAGGCTGCAATTCTGATAAAAATGATGCCAGTCTGAATCTAGTGAAAGTGTAGAATCTTTATTTTCTTCCTTCCTCTTTTCCTTCCTCTTCCTGGTATCCTGCTCAGTTCGAAATGGTTCTGAGTGGCTTATGTCAAGCAACCAAAAAAAACCCCATTAAAATAAAAGCATAACAAATGACACAATATCCCCGCAGGCGTAAGTTAACTTTTATTGTCCTCCAATGCTTTTGTGAAGAGTCATGGCTTCAGGTCTCTTCAGAAGTCCAACAAGAAAGGGATGGTCCAACAAGGTGTTCCACAGAATGGAAGTGTGGAACTTGCTGAGGCTGAGAAAGAAAAGCAAGTATTTCAAATATCACTAATGAAGAACAGGAAGATGTTTCAGTGTCAGGTGCATCTGAGAAAAGGGCAGTTCTTCAGTTTTGCATTCTAGGAAAAAGAGGTTCAAACAATTCACAGAGACCCTGCCTTAATGAATTCACTTATAAACAGGAGTTTTGCTTATTAGTTTTCAAGGTCCTGTATCTGGTTTTTTCCCCGTGATTGTAAACCCGATTAATAAAATGC